CACCAGCCTCAAAGCACTCCTGGAAATCCTCCCAGCAGAACAGAGATGCAGCCAGCCCAAAAACCAGGAGCTCCATCCAACTCGCTGGAAATGAGGCACAAAGAGGGTCCAAGATTTGCACAAAGTCAGACACTGTTGGGATTAAAGCCCTGGTGACCCCATCCCCAGGCCTGTGCTGAATCAGCCTAGAAGATTGTGATGATTTTAACACAGATTTTGACTCTTCTGGACTTTTTTTGCCTGTTCCCAAGCACAGAATAGATCACGAGTATTCAAGGTACTTGAGGTTCTGACTCTCAAGTAAGACTTTGTTACAGTTCATGTGCTTAACAAGCTTTTGTCAGAGTGATTTTCAAACTGCCATTGCAGACCTAAATAAAACCATGATAAGCTTCCAGTGTTATTGTATAATCCAATTATGATGTGAATAGGGAAGGTTTTTTTCTCAAAAATCTATGCATAATTTTTCTGAACAGTGTCTTCTTCCTAGAGCCATTCAGAAAAGCAGAGTACTGGTTCCATTAAAGAGTTTCAGGAAAGCCACTTAATTCAAGTCTTCTCAGTGAAGGTGTAGATAAACAAACCCTTACTGAAAAAGGGGAATTGAAAATGTATAGGCAGTTAAATAAAATACAACATACAAAATAAGTTTTAATGCATTTTCATCCAATATACAGGCATTTGTGAGTATCAGCTACTGAGCTATAGTTCATAGCAAAACACCAAAGCATTGAGATAGTTGTGCAAATTCTTTTCTTAGTTCCTTGGCGAGCAACAAAAAGAACTGAAGAATATCTACATAATTAATTTCAAACACTTACAGAGCAGAACCCTGGAAGGTGTTTTTTGTACATGAGGAACAACAGGAACCTGATTTCATTAAGTAGCACATACAAGAGAAGCCTGCATCTACAGTTAGATTAACTCTACTGCAAGATTTATATGTATAAAACTACCTTAATTCTAGTCATCAAAACGAGGCCTTTTGAGAAATCTGAGTCATCAGCCCAAAATTCTAACAAAGGTGATTGCTGTGCTGTCCTTAATTGCCAAGCAAAGATATCTGATTGGTGAGCACAGGCTTCTGTAAAAGCAGGAAAAAATCCCACAAGTGACATTTTAGGAGAGCAATAGGATAGAACTGGGCAAATAGTTAGAATGCCACAGGATCAACCCCAAAATCTTCCCTCTGACACCTGCAATACATTAGGAGAAACTTTCTCTGCCCAGAACACCAGGCAACCCCTTGTCTTGTCCTGCTACAACAAACAAAGACACAATAATCTGATATTGGTCAAGACTCATCATCCCTTCACGACAAAAACTCTTCTTTACCCATCCTTGTTTTAGCCTTATGTGAAATTACAAATCAATTAATAATAAAATTTGTAAAAAGCTATGGTACCAGAACTGAGAATGATTTTCCATAGTAAGGACTGGATTGATTTTCTGATTTTTTTTTCATAGGTATCACCCAGGCAGGGGTAAGATTTTAATAGCAGAAAAAGAAGTCTAATGCCCAATATTATTAGAGAGCTCACTGGTGTCTCTGCTTCTTTAAAGCCCCTCCTTTGTTCACCACAAGGGAGCAAAACCTCAGAAAGTTTGAATTGATGGCACTGGCTCCCCATGACTGATAAAACTCTGTGGTGTCATTTGACTCCACAATGATATTTTTCAATTGTGCAGCCACCAGATTTTATTACAGAGCCCTTCTCACTCCAGCTCCTTCAGTGCTAGGACCTCATGAGGACAGCTAGCTGGGAATTCCAGCACTATTGTAAGGCAACTTGAATAGCAAGAGATTTGCCCAGTAATTATTACAAAACCATTCTCACTGATTTCTTAACAGCAGAATGTATAACAAGAGCCTCTGACATTACTGTTTTATGTGCCATATATATTATCCTACAAAAGGAACAGAGTGATGCCTCGCTTCTAAAAAATAAACTGTTTTAGGCCACCAACACAATTCAGCTCACAAAATCACTTCCAACCTTTTTTTATTTAAAAAAAAAAAAGGGAAAAATAAGGCAGCACTACAAAGGGAATCTAACAGCCTGCCTCCAGGCTTGTGGACAGCTCTGCTCACTGATTTGCAACCAATGGTTTGAAAACTGAAATGTTTACTGAGAAAAATTCTGATTATATTTTAGGCAAGCTTTTTTATCTGCTACCTTTTAATGTGTTAATTTGCTCTACTGAAGAGCCAAAGGGCCAAATTCACCCCTCTGATAAGGCTTCTATTGTAGGAGCATCACTGAATGTGCACCAAAGGCATTATTCATCTGTGGAAAGATCACTGAGCAATATTGTCAAACACTTTTGAGCTGCACATCCTTGAAGAGCAGATAAAGGAATTGTAAAGAGAATGAGAAGGAACAGAACATCACAGATGAAGAAAATTAGATAAAGGGCCAGGAAGAAACTGTTTGATGTAAACAGAGTGACAAGTTAGATTAAGAACTCTCATTAAAGCATGCAGCATTTGCCCATAAGCAATTCAGGCAAGGAATTTGTTTACAACTCTGTCAAAATCAACAGCAGATGCAAAGAATCGTCAATATTGGGATTTTAAATAACATTAAATCTACTGTATCCAAGCATTCACTAAGACTGTGTGAAGGAAATACACAGCTCGGGGCTATTTTATTCTTTGTCCCACTGAGTAAACAAGGTTATGCCCTGCTGCACATTGAATGCAGGCCCAGCAGAAGTGACTAAAAGGAGTGCTAACCACTCCTCGGTTACTTCAATGTGCATGTGCCTCTGAAAACACTTACTAGCACCAAGATTTTATTACTGATGGGGAAGAAAACGTAACGTCGTGAGCAAAATGTAATTTCAGGTATGACTCTGTGTTAAGATAGAAGCTGGTTTGGCTTTTCCAAGTTAGGAGGACAAAGTTTAGAGATGGGATGGAAAGCTTGTGGTGTCACCTTACATGTGACCTTCACCAGAAAATATCCAGGAAAATCGATCCATCGGAAATCATATCGATTCGAAATTAATCTTTGAAACTGCTTCCAGAGCAGATGGTGAAGGCCAAGTGAATCAAACCCAGCACCTTGCTCAACAATTCTGAGAAAACAGGATTTTGGCAAAAGGCATTAGGAACAAATCCTATTCTAACTGAACCAGATTTAATGAGAGTTCCTCATTCTTAGGCTCAGGTTAACATCCCCCTCTAGTGACCTCAATTTTTTGTGGGGAGTTTTTCCCCTCAGCAGCTCGTTGGCTGGTGGCCCTGTACGATCCTGTTAAGATGATGGGAATTTGAGTCACCACTTTCCTCCTGGCACGGTTACAGGTTAAAAAAAAAAAAAAATACCTGGCTGGGAAGAACATGCAGTGAGAGTGAAGTTACACAATGTGCTGGCAGCAAAACTGTCCCAAGAAGCTGAAGTTGCAGCCTTTCCCCAGCCCCTCATTCTCACCCTGGTGCAGGAGTTCACTGCACATGAGTTTCCTTTCATGCCAATCCCCTGGGGGGGTCACGATGTGAGTCAGACCATTGTTATGATCCGGGTTAAAAATAACCCTTCCTAAACCAACTGACCACTAAAGCCAGCAGATTGTGTGTCTGCACCAGGAGACACTGGGCTCCTTTGACACAGTGCTGTGCATGGACAGAAAACTGTGTCAGGTGCCACTTCTCAGCTCTAAAGTGAGAGTGTGTGTGTGACTGGCAAGGCACAGAATCCAAGCCATGCAGATTCAGCCATTCCCACGCTGCAGAGCTCTTGAAATCCACATCACTCCTCAATACCAGCACTGGGAATTCCTGACTGGTTTTGCAGTAGTCCAAACAAAAAAATTCTGGTGGTCACTGGAGCTGACATGACATAAGCCAAGTTCTGGGGGCTTTTCTCTGTTAAATCCAAAGTGAGATGACAGATGGGGATGTGAAATTGTGGGAAACCACCAGCTACAGAGAAAAACAAAGCACCCGTGTGCAAAGCCAAAGTATCCCCTGCAGCTCACGACTCTGCACTTCAATCATTCACGGAGGGAACTGATGCTCCTTTCTCCCAAACAAAAGGTGTCTTTCCATTTTTTTTATACCATTGCATGGAAAGGCTCCTTGCAAAAAGATGAGGGGGAATAAAAAAAAAGACAGAGCTTCCTGTTAATTGAAGAAATATTTGGCATGCTGAGTCTATCAACAAAACATTGTTTAAAGCCTGCAGACTTTCTTCCCATAGACTGTTTAAAAGATTAGAAAAAATGCTGGTAATTATTTATTTTTGTCTCTTATCTGCAATTCCTTTGTCTGTGTACTGGGAAGGAAAGCTGAAGGCAAAGGTGAAGAGAGCATATTTCTTTTGTTAATTGAAATTATACAGTCCAAATGGCACAACCTTAAGGAGAGCTTTATGGCCTGTCCCCTACACCCAAAAAGGGCCTTTCAACTATGAGACAATCAGATTTGATCTCATTTTTACATAATCTCTGGTTGTGCAGTGCAAGAGTTTATAAGGAATAAAAAGGGGGGCCTGAATACACACAGTATAAAACACAGCTACTGCTTCACTCACATTTCCACATCCTCCTGGTGAACATATAAATTCTATTCCTCTGTGTGCCACTCTGGACAACATTGCTCAGAACAATGGCAGCAAGACCATTATTTTTAAAGATGTTTTACAATGTGCTTTCGAGTTGCAGCTCCTGGCTTTTGAAACGTTCAGGAGAGAAGATAACAATGGCTTGTTCTTTGCTTGTGTTTTGTTTCGAAATGCTGTTTGTTTGTATATTCCAGATAGATCAGAAAAAAGGAAATGCAAAATCTGCACTATTTTAAGGTATTCTGTGTCCTGCCAGTGTCTCATTTGTATGCAGCATACACTAGATTTGCCTAGAAGGATTTAGCTCAGTAGCTGGCACGTTTACATCAGAGAACAACATACACAGTTTCAATCGATTTCAAGCATTCTTACAATGGGAAATAAATATGAAAAGTGGTTGTTGCTCAAAGTTCAAAAAATGCGATCAACAAATTGTAAAAGCTCAAAAGGCCAGACAAATTTAATAAAATATTTCCATTTACCTTCCTCAGCTTTACACAGCCTGTTCAAAATAAGAAGATTCTCTGCAGAGTGCCTTTATCCAATTGTTTATATCACTTCATACAAAATATGTGTTTGAATTACCACAGCAATACAAGGATATAAATTCCCAGCCCACAAAATGCCAAATTCAACATAAGTTATGCTTTCTTGGCATCTAGATGTTTTCCTTTTCCTTTTCTGTACTGCAAATACATTTCCATTTGAAACAAATTAAAAAGCATGTAGATGTTAAAACATAATGACAGCTTAGAATTCAAGTGACTTGTGCAACATTATTTTGTGCTTTCCACTTCTCCATTTCCTCCTACTGCAATTAAAATTCATCATGCCCTACTACATGTACAATAGCAATGCATCAAGTTCAGTCCAGTAGAGGTTTTCAACCTTCAGACTCGGCTTTATACTACACGAGATCCTTGCACAATCAAAAAAAAAAAAAAAAAAGAAAAAAAAAAGTGCATCTTTTTTCCTCATCTTTCTCTTTTGCTGGATGATGTGAAGCTTTGATTAGTTGATGCAGGAATGCAACCTTGAGGTACGATTGCAGCCTTGGAATGATTCTTAAATGTAAAAAGAAACTTTTGGAGTGCTCACGCCCTTTCTGGATTTTTAAAAAAAAAAGGACACCACTGTCATGGTGCTACTGGAGCCACGGGTCAGTACATCATGGCACACACCCATAACACAACCAGGGACATGAGAGACAACTCCTATTTACAAAAAAACTCGATGTCACTTCCAGAAAAATATGACACAGGGAAAAAAAAAGAAAAAAAAGAGGGAAATATAATTTCCTGAATGTCCTGCATTTTTAGAAGATTCCTTTTACTTTCTCTTCAGCAACAGAGTGGTCCTCCACAACTGCATTTTTCCCTGACCTTTTTAGCATGGACCATAAGCGACACCAGCAGGAATTGGGAATCATATGGCAAACTGCTTCCTTCGAGAGGATGCTCACCCACGCCCCTTTACTCACAAGCCAGCTTGCTGTCAAAACTGGAAAGGGCAATGGAAAAGGCTTGTAGTGCACACATGGGGTAGTTGTAGTCCATGGTGAACACGTCCTCAGCCACACGGCCAAACTGCATCACGATGTAGTCAGCTGCAAGAAAGGCCAGAAAAGGCAAAAAGCATCACTGCTGTTGTTTCAGGAAGTGTGCAGCCAGCACTACTACCCTCTGTCTCAGAGCAATGAAATACCAACCCAACATGCTCACTCATCAAACTTCACAGCACTTATTCATGCCAGTGGGCGTGCTGATAGCAGGGCGAGAAGCGAGGACAGCTTGAGTGATAAAGGGTTGCAAGACTCGTTAGTGTCAAAAAAAAAAAAAATGACGCTTATAAAAAGCACTTTTTGCGAGAACAGACACAAGATGGTTTCTGTACAGAATGCTGGATGATGCAGGTCTCAACTAAACCTGCTCAGGTGACAACTGTGAGGGCAGAATCCCCTCCAGGCTGTGCATGCTCCCACACCTCACACGCTGAGCTCTACTTACGATCGTTATCATGGATAATTTGGAAGTTCTTCACCGAGGCCTGTGTGACTCGACCATGGAAATTCAGAACGTAGGACTGGGTGTCATCGTTCCAGACTGGTGTTTTGTTGTGCAGCTCAATGACACTCTCTGTATTTTTGTTCTGCCACCTTGCAAGAAGCGTCTCGTGTTCCTGCACACAGCACAGACACACGCTTCACTTTAACACACTCATGTGACAAAAAAATACATTAACAGGGAAGAAAAAAATCATTCACCCTGGCCCAAAGACTAAACTCTTACCTTAACCCTCAAAACAGCTGCAATGAATGAAACTGAGGATCTAAATGCAAATGTGCATTTGAGTCCTTTCCACATTTTGATAAATGTTAGTTACCCCTTTTGTTATCAAAATACTTTATTTGTAGTGCTTCTGTGAGTCACAGTAGTAGTCACACATTCCATTGTTCTGTAATTGTTTGAATGCTATTTTATTAACTTCTAGAACTTTAGAAATGCAAATAAAAAATCCCAACTCCACCTGAAAAAGAATTCAAGTAACTTTTAGTGCTGGCTGCTGCTATGACTTACATTTCGTGGTCTGATGGAAACTCTTTCATGATCCATATTCATTCCTGGTATGATCACACTCATTTTACGAGGTCCTTTAAACCCCAGGACGTTTGTTTCCTAAAAATGTTTAGAAAAGATTTCATCACGTTCTTTATTTTTAAAGTTGATTTCTTCAGCAGAGAGACATGGTGGCAGCCCAGGGAACTTATCTGTTAGTCAACTCAAAAAACATCTTGAAACTCCCACCTTCACTGGCACTGCCAAACATTCTAGCTTTGTCTTAGAAGCTCTGACAACAGGAAAAATGGAAATAGAGAGGTTTCCAAAAACACTCCTAACACTGGCTGCCAGCAACCTTAATATAATTTTTTTTTTTAAATCCCTTTGTTAAAAAAGGATATGAATTAACCAGATTGCTTGGCTACTGCTAGATCCCAAAATAAAGTAGTTGCAATTTAAAAATCATAAAATGCAGTGACACATTTTGATGTGAGACAAAATTAAATATATGGGACGAGCTCTATTTATTCCAGAGTCAGCACAAAAGCAAACAAAATGCTAGTCAGAGCATCTGGTAGCAGTGCTGTGGATTTCAAAGTTTGCTTAGAGATGACCATGGTAAAAAAACAAAACACATTAGCATGAAGGCAAATTTTCTAGCTGTGAAGACTGGGAAAATAAAGAAATCATACAGGCAGCAAAATAAATCCATGGAAAATACAAGTTTTTCCACTAAACATGATCTGATGCACTCCTGACCACTTTTTCACAAGAGCACTCCAGAATTGCACTGTCCTCTCAAAACACAACCATTAAAATCTAAACCTAAGCCTTATTTTCATCTGACACCTTTTTTTCTACCACAGAAGCAACCGGGGCCAAATATTTCAGTAAGTAATTTCTGCTTTTGAACCAGAAAAAGTAAAGAGCAATATTTTCCAGTAAAACCTGATTTTAGCATTAAGCCAGTAAATGAAACAGTGACACCTTGAACTCCATCTCCTCATGTTTTGTGATAGCCTTTTTTTTCAGTCACGTGTATTTTTTCCCCATCTGCCAAACTGAAATGAAGGGCTTTGGAGATGCACTAAGGAATGTCAGGAAGAACATTCCCATTGTTCCCACATAGGATGCCAGGAACCCTTAGGCTCCAGCTGGTGTGGCTTTACCACTGGGACATTTAAAAGTGATTTATTCAGCTGTCTCTGTTTTTATATTTTTAATTAAAATGTTCTGATTTTATGGAACACAAAACTTATTGAAACACCTTTACTCTTTCAAACAAAAAATCCACGCATCTCAACCCACTGGAAACATCTGAAAACAACCACCTAAAATACCTGCAGCTTTGCCATCATCAGACCTTTGAAATAACTCTGCCTGTTCCAGCAAACCATCTGGAGGTTTTCCACAACTCATTAAAGATTTGCATGCATGCAAGAGAAATTCTACTGGATTATTTTACTGCATGCTCCTGGAGCAATCCAGGCATATTTATATATCTTCCTAACTCTGCACATTAATGGGAAGATTCTGCCTCTTTTCTGAATCATTTTTGTCCCCTCCTTTGGCAGAGTAAAACATGTTATCAGTTCAGTTGGTTCTGCATCATGGCAAGACGAAAACTGATATGACTGCCAGCAGATTTTATAAGTAGGAGAGACTCAGCACAGCAGAGGACAAGTTCTAAGAAAAGATTCATGCTTATGCTTATTTTCCACTAAGTACTGACAATTTTGGGCTTCTCTGCTATGCCTTACATGCTTTACTCCTCAAGCTGCAGTTATGCTATGCATAATTAATTTAAATGCTGACTGGTTGAAGACATTGTTGAAGGCAAAATTAAATAATAGTGCTGAATCACTTCCCTCCCAAAAAGCAGAGGGGGAAAAAACAGGAATACATTCTTTGGGTTTACTCAGAAACACTGAAATTGGTACTTCTGGCTCATGATAAGAGAATGGTTACTAGTTGCACATTACCACCATCACCAATTATCACATGCTGTGCTGGCAAATGCTAGCCTCTTGCTAAACTCACAGTACCAAACTGAAATTACATAAACATGGAATATGTGAGGAAAATTATTAAAATTACCTCACCTCCTGCCTCATTCCCTGCTTCTCTTTTATCTCCCTCCTCCACTCTTTTGTGTGTGGAAATTTAAGACTACAAAGGGTATTATTAGGGGAATATAAACCAAATTCTGATTTCATACCTCTTCAATGGCACTGACAGTCTTGGTTTACACAGGAACACAAATGTTGTTCACTGGCAGAGCCCTGTTGACTCAATCAGGACACCAATGATTTTTTGGACAGGACTCAGCCCAGGATTGCTGCACTCCCTGCCAGTCAGCCTCACAATAAACTGGGCTGCAAGAACACAGAGCCTCTCCCTGGGGCTGCCTTTAGAATCTTACACACTTTCAAATAATTGTGTAAGCACGTTGCTTTAGTGGCAAGAGCTGCCATGATAAAAGCAGCAAGGTGAATATCCCAGCAGCTCCCAGGAGATTCATGATTTTGTTTTCCCAGTTTCCTTGCAGCCACTTCCTTTCCTGGGCTTGTTTCACACAGCTTGTGCCTTGTCCTTAATCTTTTGTGTAGAAACTGCCATTCCAAGGAATTCCAAATCACAGAACCCACAACACTGTGGGGGCACAGTGCAGGAGCCTGAGGTCTGAGGAGGAACACGAAGTCTTGTTACAGCACTGAAACCTGAGCATCAGCTGAGCTGGAGTCTCACACAAACTGTGAGACAGTCTGGAATCCAGCACGGAAAATCCTGGCACCAGTGGCACAGCTGCAGCTCACTGCTCCTGGATCAATTCTGCCAACGATTCTGCCATCAGCCATTAGGTGCTGCTGCAGGTTTATTAATCTGCTGGGCGAGTACAAGTGGCCAACAGCACCCGAGGAAACTCTGAGCTTGCCCAGCTCCGTTCCTGCTGCTTGAAACACATCCTAAAGGTGAGCTCCACAAAGAGAGCTCCCACCACACATTTAGCCCACACATGCATCCCCAGTTTTCTGCCAATGTAAATCAGACCTGCTGAGATGATTAAGCAGGTCATGCTCACTACGTTGGGTACAGCTTGATCCCTACACGGGTATTTGCTCAGATGAGCCGAGGGACAGTGAGAGGCAGGGTGGTGCTTTCAAAGTATTGTTTTTATAGCTTTTGCTGCAGGGGAAATCTCAGGGCAGGAATTAAAAGACTGCCTTAGGACAAGGGTGTTTTAGCTCTGCTCTTCCTGGCACTCTCTGCTCTAGTTCTGCTGCAGCCAGGAACAATAATCTCACTCCAGCAAACCTGGCTAGTTTGAAATGAAATACAATTCCAATTTCCTTTTGTCCTCTGGCCACGGCACACCTGCAAGCCTGCTGCCTTTCTCCATTAGTACCAAAATATCAATGGAACAAGTAATTTTCTTATACAAATGTACCAGTTTCAAACTGCTGATTTACAGACTTATAAAAGCAGCTTATCTCAGCCCCATTCTCCAAACAGTGGCCATGGTCTGGTTCTTTCCAACACCCACGCTTCTAATTACCTCTGCTGACCACAAGAGCTTTTTATTTGGTATTGTTCATCGTTCAAGTATTTGTTGTTGACTTAAGCAATGGCTAAACTTCTCAATATATAACTTTTTTTAAATTAGCTTTGGTTTTCTTTTTGCATTTCCAGTTTGTACCAGATTAGTTGCCTGGCTCCAGGGAATGCCATCCAATATAAGCCAGTAAAAAATACCTTTATTAAACACTAATATTCTGCTAGGCTTCTACTGAGACTTCAGTCAAATCCTGAAGTCTTTTTAAATCTTTTTAAATCCTACATGCCGAATTTTTGGAAATCCTCAGAATTTCCACTCCAGCAGGAAGGGAGGGATATGTATCTGCTCACTTGTCTGTCCCCAACCATGAACCATGTGCCTGAGTAACAGCACATGTGAACACACACACTTTATTCTCATTAAAACTACATCCTAAGCAGCAGGAGGAGGATGTGCTGGCAGCTGATGCTGCCCTCCCTCAAACTCCCAGCACTTTGCATGGCAAGGATGGCTCTCAGCTTCCTTGCTCATGGAAATCTTCCCAGATGCTTTGCTCCCCACAGCCCAAAGCTGACCCTTCTGGGAACACAGTCTGTGCATTCACAGGGTGTGTGGGGGATCTCACCCCGACAGATTTCCAGGCATCCTCGATTAGAGCTGGGCAGCAACTCTTCAGAAAAGTCATTCTTGGATATTTTTACTTTAAGTTGTTGATTTGTGAAACCAGACAACTTTCTGTAGCAGTGTACGTACCAGTTCTCACTGGAAGGGCTCCTTGAGCCCAAATATTTCTGGACAGAAAGAGCACTCTCACCAAAAAGGTTATTCATCCAGCAATGGTGAAACAACAGCAACTGTGTTTCAAGTCTTCATTGCCTGCATTGCTCCTGACAAATGCTACTTGCTCTCCTGTAAGAGCCCAGTTTATCTCATTCAATCAAAATTTGGATTTTACTTGGGGCTTTTTCCTGGTAAAAAGGAGTTTTAGAGTTTTTATCCCAATCTCAGCTGCTGCAGACCCAGCTGTCAGCTACCAATGGTTTGGATCAGAAGCCTCCACCAAAATGCCATCACAAACAATCACACCTTAGAGCAGAAATGCCATGTGCACAACTCTTCCCAGTCCAGGAGGCTCCTTCAGGTGGTGCCTGCAGGCTGGGATCCCACCCTTTCAGAGGGTTAGGTAGGAGCCCCAACACCTTCTTCTCACCAAAGGTGAGAACTGGGCAGCCCTGATCAGTGCACGACTTTTTTCACCTCTACTTCACACTGAGCCTCCCGGTTTCTCTAGGGGAGATCAGCTGCCTGGCTCCATCCAAGTCTGAATGCTGGTTTTACATAATCCTAAGTGAGAAGGAAATTCAGTGTGCTGTTTCAGAAACTGAGCTGCCCTTCCTGCACGCCGTGCCTGTGAGCAGTACTTACATAACAAATAGCAGCTAGCTCCTGACGCAGGGTGCTCGCCTCCAGGCTGGATGTTGTTTTCATTGGATTCACTCCATTGTCATAAACTGTAAACTTAGTTCCCATAAGATTTGATCTACCAAAAAAAAAAAAAAATGGAAAATCCGATCACCATTTGTCAGCAATGCTGCCCAAGACATCTCTCCTTTACTGCACTGGCGACCCCAGAGGAAAGGCAAATATTGAGAACAGAGAGTTGTTATTTCTAATCCCAGCTACATGGCAAATCCTGGATTAAAGGCCAAAATCACAAAAATGTAAAGGTACAGTACAGAAGTGTATACTAAAAGTCCCTTATCACCATGCTGGAGATTTCTGATAACATCTTGCAAACTAGGAAGTTCAAGAAAGTTGTAAGGAAACACTCGGGTGGGGTTATTCTGTGTGTCTGCTTGGTTTTTAAAATACACTTACTACAAAACCATCTGCTTTCTTACCTGACTACTAAACTCTGTTGGAATATAGGGAGTGACTTTTATAAAGCCATAAGTGAGATCAAATCTTTGCTATTGCAAAGGAAAGGAGTGTGAAATGTAATGCAGGCACAGGTGATGTGAGCACACACCCAGAATCTCCACAGAGGGATCAACAGCAGACTGGCTGTAGGACGTGGGGACAGCCAGAAAAGGAACACGTGGTTCTGAAATAATTCCACTACCTGCAAATAACTAATTTGGATCTTAAGGAACAAGCAAAACCAAAGGGATTTTCAGACTGTTCAACGGTGCATTCCAAAGTATTTATATCAATAGAGGCTAGACACAATGTACTCATGCACTTCTGAAAATCCCATTAAGATAAGTTGTGCTGGTACACCCTTGAGAATCTGGCCTTTGAGTACTTCAGAGTTTCAGTCCTGCTGACTTTTAATAAAATGTGATCCTGTTAAGTACTTGAGACATTTTTGAAAACATGCCTTGGATACTGGGGATCTTTAAGACCATGATCACATGATGTAGCCAAACCTCTAAGAAGACATAGTGGATTACAGGCTTCTCAATATCGAATAAACTTTACATCATATAAAGAAAATTCCTAGACTTCTCACTGTTTACCTCAGTTTTCCAATAAAACTCTCTCCACCCCGAGACAGGTCAGTTGGGTCTATAGAGATGAGGTAATTAGAGGTTTTACTCTTCTTTCGTTTCCTTCCAGCCAACAGAAACACCTAAGCAATGCAAAAAAACCAGATTCTAGAATGCTAAAGGGGTTAGCACACACACCACTTCCTGCTTTGATATAAGGAAATCATAAGCAACTTTTCTGTCTTCAGGCATCACTACCAAAGTAACAGAAGATCTCCTGGGATTTAGCAAAACCAGGGAAAAAAAAATCTGGTAAGGGAAAATGACTTCTCAACCACCCATTCCATTATTTATGGTTTAAATAATTTAATCTGGTCTATTTTGTTAAATGTTTCATTCTAACTCTCTCTGGCTCTTCCAGCTGAATTGACAGTAGATGCTTTGCAGGCCACAGAATGCAGAGAGCCCCAACTGCTGACAGTCACATAAAGGTGCCATGCATGGATTATTTAAGGCCAAAAATAAGACATATGAAGAAAGGCATTGGAAGAGATTGATATTATTGTTTGGTTTGGGGAAGACTGTAGGGTTGATCTAATGAAAGCAAAAATGTATTTGAAATACAAGATTACATTTTATTAGTAAGACTCCTTCAAATTTTTTTTTTTTTTTAATATTCAGATGCAACTGGTATGTCATTCAAGTTATGTGATGACCTTTTTACCATGCTCCCTTTCCAAGTGGAGGTAATAAGTAGGGTACATCCCTCGGTCCATTCCTTTCTTGTCTCTTGTGATCCTGCACTTGACAGTGACCCCCTGTGGGGCAGGTCTGACAGCAAACTCCTCCAGGTCATCCACATCTATGAGAGGCTCATTTGTGGAAGGACTGGGGGCTGAGGCCGCTTCCTAAAACAATAAAAAAAAAAAAATCAGGGGTTTTTAACTTCCATTTCCAACAAGGTTATAAGCACAAAGGAATGGCATTTGAGAGAAGCTGCACTTTTAAAAATTCAAACCAAGGGCTGTGTTGTCTTGCTGATGCTCTGTGCACAGACCCACCTGGTGGAGCAGAGCACAGACAGAAAACCCTGGCTCACACCTTCCCATCTCATCATACTCCCTCTGTCAGAAAGGCCATGCTCAAGGACAGGGGGGCTTTAATGAAAGGAAGAAATGGGATAAGGAGCAAGAATTGAAGCTCCAGAGAGATGTAGCAAAGATGAGAAGTCAGTGCAGTATGGAAAAGAGCAGGGCACCATCAACTTCTTTAGCAAGAGCTTGTGATTAAGAATATTTGAACCAGTCTTATTTTATGTTCGGATGGTAGCAGAGAGAACAGGGTGGGAAAATGCCCAGAAAAATTCAATGGAAACAAAAGATCCTTCTGAGCACCTGCAAGAGGTAGAAAGGTAAATATTTACTGTTTCCCTTTCTCTCCATTCAAGTTCAGACAATATTTGCCATTCTTTTCTCCGAGTCGTTATTTTCACTGCTTGCTCTTGCAAAGCCTGAGAGCTATCACAGTAAATCACCTTGGAGCTCCTCTAGTGCATATTAAAAACAGAACAGGGAAGCCAGGCCTGTCCTGAGTGCACCCTGAAATCATGCATTTCACAGCAGCCTGCACTCCCCTTCTTCAGCACTCTCCCCTTACCTTATTGGATTTCTTGCTCGTGGCAGAACCAGGCCGGGTGTTGCTGTTTAACTGTGAAGAGCTGGAGCTGTCTTCATCCTCCTCATCTTCTTCCTCATCAAAGTTCATGCTACTTGAAATGCCTGAGGAGAAAACAGTGCACTCATATGAAGAAGTGATAGATGAAAGCTGCCCATACTTGCTGTAAAACACCACTTATCAGGCTGCTGCACCCTTAGGCTCACAGGTGGGTGAGGAGATGTGTGAGAGTGGCTCCTGTGTGAGGCAGTGCATGAACACATGGGTCAGCTCTCCTGAGAAGCTAAACACTCAAATAAAACAGAAAGGAAACATCATGGTTTCCATTCCACACAGAGGATCAAGTTACCCAGTGACACTGGAGCAAATATCAGGTTAGGAACTAAATTCACATCATCTTCATCCAATCAAGTACTTTAAACACAACACAAAAAATCATAAAGCTGAAATTGGAGCTCAGAGGATGACCCAGCACAGCCACTTGGAAACTCTCACAATTAAAATTCAAACCCTTTCCCAGCACACTTTGAGCTGTGTGATCTGCTGAAGAGCACATCTCAGACCAAGAAGAAACATTCACATCAAAGAAAAGTTCTTCTGCATCTTTATTTCATGTAAAGAATAGTATCAGCCCAGGCCAACAGAACTGCTCTACAGCACTTGAAAATTTGACTTTACAGGAATTCAAAACCTCAGACATTTCAAAGGGAAACATAACTTTGAACATCAAATAGGTCTGAGCAGCAAAAAGCATCAATGGTGGGACATTTGCCAGGCCTTGTTTTTCAAAGAGTATCATGCAGATGAAGCCACCCCATATCCAAGTTCAAGCTCTCTAAATTCCATATATTACAGGCTATATTATATCTTAAAAAAAAAAAAAATCACTTGGTCCAGAATTCCCATTATGAGTAAGTCCAGTGTAGAAGGATAAATGAAATGCAGATTTCCAGAGCCAAGCAGCATGGGCATAATTAACTTTTTCCTTCTGTACTCACCAGGAACATGATCCAGGGCGACAAGACTGGATTGGGAGGTGGAAGAGGACCAGGATGTATTTGCATGGGGATCTGGGAAAGGAAAAAATCCAAGGGTTTGATTCTGCAAACCCTTAATTGAGTGAACAAGTGTAACCTGGCAAGAGGACTCCACACAGGGCTAAAGGCTTATGGGATGGGGCCACAATGCTACTGCTTGAATTCACAATTTCTGCACTGCACAAGCAAATTCACCTTCTACCTGCTTATACCTGCTGTGATGTTCACTTTCAGCACCTTGAATAAAGTGGAAAAGCCCTGGATCAGAGCTGAAGCTTCAGCAAACACCATGCACACTGAGCAGTTGTGCCACCAATGCTTCTGTGCATGATGTGCACTGCGTGGTGGGGTTTGGAGTTCAAATACTTTTGAATTCTAACAAAATAAAAACCCTCCAACCTGATTGGCATAAGTGATGCACACAGATTCTACACAATATCGAGTCAGTAACATTAATAGAAGTATTCAGGTTCATATTCAGATGGCCTAAATTCTTCTTCAGTCCCTGTGCCTACTGTGTCCTCATCATCAAAAGATGAAACCAGGCTCTCTAAAGTGTTTTTCTGGGAGCTCTAGGGATATGCATAAAGATTTTATTGTAGTTTAGTCTTCTGGAATACAAACTTGGTCTGTAATAAGCAGAGACTAAACCAAATTGATGTACAGAAATATAAACAGCAGATACAGACTCAGTAATGGCTTTCTTCAGTTCAAATTTTGGGAACAGATGAAGAAAAAGACAGCAAAACAAGGCATTAAAATACTTTTTGCTTTTATTGCTGCTTCCAATGACCTCAGTGCATATCCCTTTAGAATATCCAGATGCACACTGGATAGTGAAACACCACTAGAGTAGTAGGAGTGAGGGTGTAAAAGTAAAGCAGGAGCACAAGCAATGCTTGCATTGCAGTCAGCTGCCCCATAAAAGCTCTCATTTTATGCACTCCTTCAGCTCCCCCAGTGCTGACAAACACCACAGAGCACGACAGCAAAACCTTTCAATAGCACCTGGTTATGCAAGGGAGGTCTGAGTTCACAGGTCAAAAGATATTTTCAAAGCCTGTAGAATTCATTCATTATTAATCACACATTCATTAATCACAAGCATTATTTTTTAATAAGGACAATCGTGTTCTGGGCTCTATGCATGGGTAACAGAGACAGTCCATCTCCTCAGCTGCCAGCTGCACAATACAGCCATAATTCATAGCCACTGACAGAACTGCTTTATTTCCACACCTGGGCTCACTATTTCACCACCAATGCAAATGCAAAAATATTACACCAATACCAATACAAAGTGGTGAAAATTCTGTGCCAACTTTTGAAAAAAGCTCACGACCCGCAGGGAAAAATGCTTCAGTGAGCTCCCGTCCTAGAATCCAGAAATGAAACTGATCCCTTCTCTAAATCTCAAAATTTCAGGTGGCAAAGAACTAAGGCCCAATTGCTCATTCCTTGCCCTTTAAAGAGACATTGGAAACTGGTAAGTGTGAGGACTGCATGTGAGTTATTCAGTGTTAGAACTTATGGAAGTCTGACTCTGTCCTAGTGACTCATTTGCCAGGGAGAAACTCTACAGATTAACACTTTGGAAATCAAAAAGGACGAATATTTCCTACAGGAGGAAAATTATTCTAGGATGGCAATTTCCAACAGATGGAGAAATCAAATCAAGCATTTGGCATTTTCTTGCAAGTGGTACATTCTTTTCACACTAAGTAGCCTATAACCTCATGTCTTGTCACAGAACTTGACTCATGGGGGAAGCAGAGATATGTTTCTCTCCACCAGGTTAGTGGCAAAGAGCAGAACAGGCACGAATTAGGGCTATGCAAATCCAACGGGATTCAGCTTTTTCCACGAGACCAATCAGCATTTCACAGAATCACAGAATAAGCTGGGTTGGAAGGGACCCTTCAGGATCATGGAGTCCAATTCCTGGCCCTGCACAGGACACCCCAAGGGTCACACCATGTGCCCCAGAGAATTGTCAAAATGGTTTTTTGAAATCTGTTGGGCTGGATGCTGGGACCAGTGCCCTGGGGAGCTGTTCCAGTGCCCCAACACCCTCTGGGTGAAGAACCTTTTCCCAATATCCAACTAAACCTCCCCTGACACAACTCCAGGCCGTTCCCTTGTGTCCTGTCACTGCTCACACAGAGCAGAGATCAGTACCTGCACCTCCTCTTCCCTTCATGAGGGTGCTGAGACCACAGGGAGGTCTCTCCTCAGTGTCCTCTTCTCCAGGCTGTGCCCTCAGCCACTTCTCATACAGCTTCCCCTTCAGACCCTTCACCATCCTCCTTTGGACACTCTCTAACAGTTCAGTGACTTTTCTATTCTGTGGCACCCAAACCTGCTCCCAGTATTCAAGGGGAAGCTGTCCCAGTGCAGAGCAGAGCAGGACAATCCCTCCCTTGCCTGATGTCCCCAGGACAGGGATGTCCCTCCTGGCTGCCAGGGCACTGCTGGCTCCTGTTCAGCTTGTCACAGAAAAGGGCCACCAGGTCCCTTCTGCAGTGCCCTATTTTGTGTACTTCTGCTCCCATTCCATGCAAGAGAAGGGCTGGTGGGAGACAGCAACTCCAAACACTTTCCAGGTGACATGCCAGTAAGGACATGCCACAAGCAGTGAAGTGGCAATGGGAATCCACATGAAGAGCTTTATCCCTGCCTAAAGTATCACTTGAATGCTGGAATACTCAAAACTTTCTCAGAACAAGGATCCTCTGCTGGTATCAAGCAGCAAAGCATATACACATAGTAAAAATAATTTACAGAGATGCTGCTGGCATTGTCTTAATATCTGTCTTTGTGTCTCACCCAGCATAGCTCTGCTGTTAATAAAAATGAATAAATCTCAGTATTCCCATTTAAATAAATGTATCTCCCTTGCCTCAACTTGAAACACATTAGTGGTTCACTCTTAGCAGTGTCTGTTCTGAGCAGGAATATACTCAGACTTGGTAAAAAAGTCATATCATATATTTGAGAATATACAGCAGCAACACAAACCAAAAAATTTCCACTCTCTGCTTCTATTAAAAATAAACACGAATTTGGAGAGAATAAAAATATACGATAACCTGGCAAAAAACCATCAAAACCAGAAGTGTCCCCCGGAGTAAAAATCTGAGTGCTGTGACCTAATTTGCAAAGTCTGTGGGTACTTTTTTAAGTCAATCAGCTTTAGTTTAGTAGTGTGCCTGATGATTAAATATTCTGAGCCATGGTCTAAGGCAACACAATCACCACACAGATCAGAACTTGTTAGTCATGCCCAACACCCCTGCAACTCCAATGCCCAGGAAATCGGGAACTTGGAGAAAATCTGCCCATTTCAGTTGGAGCTGCTCACATCTGCAGGGTAACGTCCCAGAAAAAATGAAAATCTTAGTGAGAACTGCTCTGTGGACAAGAGGCAGCATTTAGGTTATGAATAGTCCATTCTACACGAGTCAAGTTTGCACTTAGATTTTGCTCTTTATACACAAAGGGTTTATTCTTAAAGCATCAGAGCACTCTTGGCTTGAGCCATCTTTGCTTCAAAAGCTGTACACTGAAGAAGAACAACTCCAAAGCAAATGTCTTCAGAAAACGCTTTGTGAGGGTTTGAGGATATTTCTTTTTTCCTTCCTACAGTTAGTGTCTGTGAGGAGATAACAACAGTGCAGGAAGGAAGAGACAGATGCATGAATGTGTACATACACAATCTATCTCCCAAAGCATGCATGCCTCTGGACAAAGAAAAATAAATTCCAGAACATTTGAGGACTCTGTGTGGGAAATGCTGCAGAATGTGGTGTACCCTTCACCTCTGCAAGCCTGAACAGACACTATGGAAACGTGAACAATGTGTGACTGACTGCACCACTAAAATGAATATTCCAGTTTGAAGGTTGCTGTTTCATGCTGGTTTTTGACCATCAAGTAAGTGATTCCCAGAGTTAGAAAAACGTGAACAGATGGATGCAAGCCTTGGCATCTGCCTGGTCCCTTAATAATGGCACTGCCCTGCAGATGGGGAAGTCACATCCCCGAGAGCCTGCAGAGCTCTTGTTCCTTGGGACAAGGGAGAACTTCATTGTTTTATATTTTTTTTTTTTAGGTTTGAGGTTTTGGATTTTTTTAGGTAACAGAATAGAGCCTAACAGGCTCTGAGGAGAAGACACACAGAACTGACAAACTGTGCTTAGGCTAGGGCTGAGAGTGACAATAGGAAATTGAGTCAATGTCCATCAGGCAAGCAGTGAGAACATGAAGGAAGCTTTAGCTACTTACCTTTCTTCTGCATTGCTGTTTTAAGATCTTGCTTGCTTTGCTGCTGTTGACCAGTAGCCACTTTCTCACCATCATCTTCATCATGGCTAGACTGTCCAACAGTGAGAATCTGCACTTGACTTCCTATCTTCTGAACATCATCTTGAAAAGCAGCTGGGCCATCAATCCCTGTCAGACAGCAGCAAAAGCTTCAGTTGTCTTTATGTCAAGAAGTTACTGGGAAGAAAATTGCTCACTCACAAAAGCAGCAGTTTTTCTAAGAATCACAGATTGGATATTCACATTCAATAATATTTCTAGAATTAAACAAGACTAAGGTCGCCTCCAAGGCAAACATTTTACTTTCCACATACTGCACTAGAGAATCTCCAGCACGGGATCAGGATTTCACTGGTGCCCTCCTCAGCCCAAAGCACACCTGCCCCCTGCACCAGAAACACTGAAAACCAAGCAGAAAAGAAACACATTGAAGAGAACTGACCAAGAAAAAAGATAAAATTTTCATAAGGGCACACAGGTGATCCAGAAACAGATGAACCTGAGTCCCAGGTTATGCCATATCCCCATATAAACACCACTGCTGAAATACTTTAAATATTTTGAAATACATGAAATACTTTAAAGTTTCAAAAACCTGGAAAATTCACAAGTAGATCTGGTAGTGTATCCAACAGAGGAGCAGCACATTAACAAGCCTAAATACACCTTCTGAGTTAGGAAAATCACCATACAGTTAATACATCAGAGATATTACATATTCCCTGGAACCTCCATCCTCCTGAGATGCTTTAATCCCACCCAGGCACATCCCAACCTGCTGTGAGCAGGGATGAGGGACCAGACAGTGCCCAGAGGCACCTCCCAGCCTCTGTGACCCTCTGGCTCCTGAAAGAAACTATTTACCTCCTTATGGCTGTAAATCACCTCAGAAGAGAGAAAAAGAAAATAAAGGGTGGGGGGTGCTCTTACCACAAGCCAACTTCATTTTTTTGTTTCTTCAGGGCAGAGAGGTAAAACTTCAGACTGCAAATGTACTTCAGCTCTTAGTTAAGACACAGAGCTGGAATATGTTACTAAATCAACTATATAAAAATGCACTTCTGCATCTATAAAAATGCCAATATTTTCAATAAATACATAAGCTGTATACTGCTGCTGTTGTGAATTTTTTGTTAATAAGCAAGCAACATTGTGGAGAGTTAGCAAGCACTACAAAGAGCTAATTCAGTAAAGAAATATGGTGCTTCTCACACCAAATAGAGCTGAATAAACCCTGTGAGAAGGAGCTGCAAGGATTGGGATTTTTTGGACTGTGATCTGTAGCAGAAGTCTCCAAGAAATGCCATTTCATGCTGCTTTGCCAGCAGCTGTCAACTCGCATTAAAAGACAGCTGGATTATGCATTTAGCACACTTAACTGTACTTTGCAATATCTGCTGTCACTGCCACTGCAATATGAAGCATAAGTGGAAAAAAGAGTGGTTCATATCCCCAGGAACAGCACCCAACGAGATGCAGTGTGACAGCACAGAGGTGTTAAAGTCACAGGGTGCAAGACCAGAAGGGATTATTGATTCATCTGCATTACACAGACCCTGGCAATTTCTGCACCAAGCCTGCAAATTCTGATTTACTTGCAGCAAAGCTAACAACAACAACAACAACAACGACTAACAGCAAATAAATAATCTGTCCATCCAACCTTGAAGGACTAGATAAACTCCATGGAAATGTTTCTGTGACCTTGCTAGAATGACAATTTCAGAAGCAGCTCTGTGTGATATAGAATGAACAGTATCATCTCCAGGTATAATACAGCAGTGAAAAAAACGGCATTTTTCTTAATTTATCTATGAGAAGCACCACTGCAAAGGTGCTCTAGAACAGACAGGTAGCTGCTCAGATCCTCTGTGGTATTTTTAACAGCTTTACAATATTAACCATTATTATTAAAGTGGCTGCCTAAAGATAGGTTCTTACCTTAACACTCTGAATTTCAAAAGTGTTAAGCACCCATGAGTTTAACAAAATGCCTCATGCATATCACATCTAGCCCCTTATTAAGCACTGGATGATACAAACCTAATTTTGAGAACGCTTTTGAGAAGGAACAAAACACCTTAATTATTCCTCTTCAAAGCAGACATTGATCTGCAGCAAATGAAATGCCTTCGACAGCACTGGAGATTGCACTGAGGCTGCTTTTTTCAGATGCCTGCAGAACATCTGCACTCACATCCCATGCTGTCAGGAACATCGTGTATTATTAGGAGTCAGGACAAAGGCTGCACTGGCAGGTCACAGTTTTAGAGAAGAAAAATCAATTTCAGTATTCTGAAGAGTGCATCACTGGTAGAGTGTGTTATTAAGTGCTAGGAGTGGTTCCACTGGTGAGCACATTTAAGGGAATGAAATATGGAGCAAGGCAGAGAGGATTAAAAAAGGAAAAAAAGAGAATCTCTGCTGCATCAGAACACTGCAGGTGGTTCATGGCAAATACAGCATTAACTACATTAACTATTTAATACTTGTGTGTGTGCATAATCTTTGTAGCTACACGTGCATGTGTAAAATGGGATTAAATGCAGGCATACATACACAATTTCCTCTATCACGAGGTATAAGTGCATTTTTGTAAGCCATGGTTCAAAAGGCAGCTTTGCCACCACCTACCAAACACCTGAACACACCTGAAAACACTTCCAAGCTTGTGCAATCATGATATTCAAGGTGGATCTCTCCCCCTCTTTGCCTCACTGATTCCTTTTCATCCACTTCCCAGAAGATTGGTTCTCCATGTAATAAAACAAACCACTCATCTATAGTCTCTGTGCTTAAGGACATGGTCAAAAAGTGGCAAAGAAGCTGAGAGAGTTGTGCCAAAAAAAGTTTTTATTGCTAGGTTCAGCATTTTTTACAGTGCTTCCCAAAAATCAGGTAGAGAAAAAGTCTGACAAAGACAGCCTTGAATACCTGCTAAGAAAAAGGGAGAATTTTTGAGAGGAAAATGTGAGGGAGGGCAGAGTGGAAAGAAGAAGACTGGAACAACCCTCAGTCCCTACAGAAAAGGCCTTTTGGTACACTTTGACATGACCATGTCTCAGATGAAAACCAGAGGTACCAGAAATGAAAACAAAGCAATACTGGGAAAAAAGAAAAAAAGCATCAGTAAATGAGAATTTCTGGCATTTATGTCCTGCAAACCACTATTCATCAATGCCTGTATTCTCTTAACACCTAAAAACCTAGACAATATTTATAAATAGGCAACACCAATCTGTTAAAAGCTGCTAATCTAAACTACTGAATGGCAAACACGATTATGTATCAGGAAAGGAACACAGCATAGAAAATAAGTAATTCTGCCCCTGCTTTACAAATGAGGAGCTGCAGGACAGGGAAGTTCTTGCAGTCATTTTAAGGCACAAGTTTGATGCCTGCAGCTGGGCACACTGCTCACACAGTAAGAATGTGGTGAAGGCTTTTGCAGATGAGAGCTGCCCAAGGTGAGGCAGGAGAGCACTGAGCATTTCCTGAGCTCAGGTACTGCTCTGACAAAGGAGGCACATCCAGTGGATAACACCCAAGGCACTTCCCATCCTTTAGAGAACCTGGCTTAAAGCAAACCCTGCCATCAACATTTTCTAAGCCATTTCTCATCATATTCCTGCTCTCATAGGGGCTGTGCATCCACTGATAGGGGTTCAAGCAACTGCAAAAAATCACAAAGGGATTTTTTTAGAGGCAAAGGGAGCAAATAGAATTTTATTTTTTTTTAAAGGACATCTAGAGGTGATTTAGTCCAAACCTCCACTGGACTATTGCTAGCACCAGATCAAGACACTAAAAGCAAGTACTTGAGCACTAAGCTCTATATTCACTTTGATGACATCTACAACAGTAAACAGGAAATCTTTATCTTATCATCAATCTTTATCCTTAGGAGGTCAAAATTAGTTCTTCACAATCAAGTCCATGTGTTGCCAAAGCACAGCCTGAAAGGTTTGTCAGATCTAGAAATAACAGGACTTCTCTTGGTGCAAATTCACTTGCTGTTCCCCCTACCCTTTTTATTTAGTGCTCAGGGAAGCTGAGATAAATCTGCTTTACACGAACTTCCCTCCCCAAATCAGAAAGGAAGTGCTACAGTGAGAAATGATGCTTCTTACCCAACAACTGCTGCTGCTTTCTGAGCCAGCCAGCGTTCATGTAGCTGCTTGGTACATAGGAAAATGGGACAGGATGCACAAATCAAAACACTCAGACAGGCGTGAAAGAGAGAGGAGAAACACGGAAGAAGCCAAGCAAACCAAAACATGGAATAGCCACCCTGGCAGGAACAGCTCTGTGTGTCACAGCAGCTTCCTGGCTCCCAGAAAATCAGCAGGGAATACCCAATTAGACCACTTACATTTCAAGTACAGCAGGAGGGGAAAATTTCGGCGAAATTATGGTTTATTTTGATATTTTAAACACATCCAGGTTCCTCATTTCACTGAAATTTCCACTGAAATAGAAATCTTCATTTATGTTGTTGAGAGTAGGGCTTTCCTAGAATGTACTTACATAGTGTAAGTGCAGGAGTTTTGGGAAGAAAAACCAAACCCAACCAATCACCAATAACTTTTCACAGAATGATTCCTGAATTTTCATATCAAATTTCACTTTGTATTAACTCCTGGCTTCTCGTGCTTTTCTGGTTTTTTTTTTAAACGTTCCATTTTATCTTCCTGATTTGCCCCATTCACTGCACACAGCCAAAAAATGCATTTTATCCTGTGTATTTATTAACTTCTTTGTAAACCTTTCCCCTATCTTAGGGGGAAAACCCCACCCAAAGTAATGGCACCACAGTGTACCTGTAATACTTTCATGAATCTCCTTTTTTAAAGAATCACCAAGACATTTGATAGCTAAAGATGCTCTGGCTTTGTGATATTTTGTAGGGTGCAGACTTTTCATAGGTTCCTGCTGTATTTCCACTAATTTGCACGATTTTTTATTGGAACCACCTAGTGATGCTCTACACTGGTTCACTGCTATCCTGAATCACCCCAGCCTGCCACAAATCAAACCAGAATTTGATCCACTCTCTCCATCTGAAAGAACTATTTTACTAGTTTACTATGTTACATCTGGTTTGGTTTTTTTTTTTAATATTTTGCCAA